TACCTTGAAGTCAAGGGGAGATTTACATAGCTGTGACGTGTTCTTCTAGCAGTGATTCCCAGACTTTTGAAATTAATGGAAATCAGAATTTAAAATTTTGGAGACTGACACAACAAGAGAAAATTTAAAACTACCACCTTCTATTACACCATTAAAAAAAACCAAGTCAGCTGTAGCAACCTCAACATTTTGCTATAGAGTAGCTACTATGGTACATAGGCCTGTGACAGATACAGGAACAAAATTATTTCTGATAGATGAACACTTTTCATCTAATTTATGTGTCTCAATCTCTGGGCCTTCAGTTTGGAGAGTACCTACGTTTGTTCTGCTGTGGTACTTGGAGTACCACTAGTCACAGCCATGAGTATTACCAATATTAGTTCAAGCAAGGGCTGTGATGGCCAGAACAGAGAGCCACAGGTTCAACCAAAGCCTTTCTGAAAGGGATTTCCCACTGACTCTCAGCAGTGTTACCGTAGTTCTGATCACAGTACTAATTCTACAGAGTAGTAGCAGAATAGTAGCATCTCTGGGCACAGAGATAACTATTAAAAAATCTGCAGAGACTTTGAGAAAGAGACTCAACTGAGTGCTGGCAAGATTTCTTCACCACTTAGTCTCCTTTGGTTCTCCATTCCACTTGTCGCTCAATTTCTCATTTTCTACTCTTTTTTTTTTTAAATATATTTTATTGATTTTCCACAGAGAGGAAGGGAGAGAGATAGTTAGAAACATCGATGAGAGAGAGACATCGATCAGCTGCCTCCTGCACATCTCCTACTGGGGATGCGCCCGCAACCCAGGTACATGCCCTTGACCGGAATCGAACCTGCGACCCTTCAGTCCGCAGGCCGACGCTCTATCCACTGAGCCAAACCGGTTTCGGCTCATTTTCTACTCTTAACTTGTCTAGCCTAATGACTGCGCACTTCACAACGGCAAAAGTAACAATGATTTAAAAAACACACACATTATAGAATAAAATATAAACCAAATAAATAAAAGTACAATTTTCACACCTATTTTGGTAAATCCTGCAGCCCAGGCAAATAATCCCATACTATTTTCATTTCCTTAGGTTAATTCTCACTGAATAATAATTTGATATATTCAATATAAGATATAATAAAACACTAAATCTGGATATTTAAACATGCTTTATTCTCTCTATTCTGCGAGGTAATAGGTAGACATATGTACTTATAGATTCTAAAATCTCAGAACTATAACATGGGCTGAATCATAAAATGCTTATCATTATCTTAGAAAGAATATACAAATGAGTTTGCACATGGAAGACATGATACATATTTAAAGACATATTACATTATTTCACATTTGACAAGCAGTATAAATGGTTAATAAAGTTTTCAAATTAAACAGCCCACAAATATTTAATCAATATATAGGATTGCATGCAGTTCTTAAAGCACATAGAGAAGCAAGAAAATGATCATCATGATTTGTATCAATGGTATGATTAAACATGACATTATGGACACCGAAAATAGGTTTCATGTAAAGTGGATGTATGAATATATAATGTAAACACCTCTTAGTTGCATCTAGAGTAATACATGAATTAGGTTTTCCCTTGTCTGGGAAAATTATAGTAGTCCTTTGCAGCTATGTATGTGCATATGGTTCCCTCCTTCTGGCAGGCAATCTGCATTAGGCTTTGATAGGTACTCCTTTAATTTCTTGCCATCAGTTTTATCCTCTCCTCTTTTCTCATAAAGAGGAATTTTCCTCTTAGCCTTTCTGAGATTTTCAACAAACAGCTTTTTCCCTTCAGCCTTTAAATATGATCAGGTGTCTGCTGTCTTAAATATTCCCTTCCAGAGTCCACCATAATTCTATCTTTTCTTTCAAAAGGAAAGTCCTTTTTTGAGTTTTCTAGATTTCTGTCTTTATTTAGTCTGTAATGAGGGGAACCGATTTTAGGATAAAGCTAACAGTCTGGATGGAAGAGTGAGGAGAGAAATACTAGTAACTTAAGTATTTAATATTATATGTAAATCTGAGCCTTACCCTACATGTTGACTGTTTCTTATGTTAGCTAAGCATTTCCTTAACGTTCAAGGCTGTTTCCCTTGAGTTTTCTATACCTTGCAAAGGAAAGACTCCACTGAAAAAATGATTTCTTCTCTGTTCTTCCTAGAAACATCTCTGAAATGTTGGTGTTCCGTGGAGTTCTATGTCATCCACCTACCTCACTCATGGCTCAATTTGATGAATGCTAAGTTTGAATCTCCAGCTAAGATTTCTCTCCTGGCCCAGCTGGTGTGGCTCACTGACTGAGCATCAACCCATGAACCAGGAGGTTACCTGTTTGATCACCGGGGTATGGGGAGGGGTAGGGGGTGCAGGAGGCAGCCAATCAATGTTTCTCTCTCATTGATGTTTCTATCTCTCTATCCCTCTCCCTTCCTCGCTCTCTCAAATCAATAAAAAACATTAAAAAATATTTTCTTCCTGAACTTCAGATAAATATATATAAATATCCACTAAATTTTTCCACTCAGATGCCCCAACAATACCTCATATCAACATATTAAACTTAAGCTCTCTCTCTTCTCCACTTCCATTTACTATTCTTTTTGTATTTCCCATCCCAGTTCATATTGTCACTCACTTGCCCAAATTAGAAACCTGGGTATCAATCAATTTTGGAACTGCCCTTTATTTCTTATGCCTCATGTCCAGTGTAACATTTAAGAATATATTGAATCTATGCATTTCTCTCCATCACCTATTACTTCCACATACTCTCCCCTGAATTACAACAGACATTTCTTAACTGGTTCGATTACCTCTAGTCAGTCTCGTCTCCAATTCATTCTCTGAAAAGCTATCAGTGCTCATTAAAGAAAAATTTAATCATGTCTTTTCCCTGTCTAAAATAGTTCAATGTTTCCCTTCCCATTTCCTTCACTATAAAGCTAAGCATGATTTGGCTTCTGCTTATTCCTCCAGCTTTATTTTACACCACTCTTCATTCTCAACTTCCATTAGTTTCATAACTAAACAGGTGTGTGCCCTCATAGCACTGTATCCCATCTTCACAGCACTAATCACACGATATTATAGTTATCTACACTGCTGAATATTGCTCAATAGGCAGATTAATAATATGTGTAACACCTGCAAATCAGGGTGTTCACAATTATTTGGGGTAAATAATTTGATATTTTATATATATTAAAAGTACCGAGGTCATCATCAAGAGAGAGGTTAGAAAGAGTTTATGATTATGTAGTGCATATGTAAGTTATGAATCACAGTTACAAAATGAACACTCATGAACTTAAAAACTAGAGTGTAAGAACCACAATTCAACTTAAGAAATAGAACAGTACCAATAATACCAGTTTCCACCCTCATCCTACCTCCGGTTTTCCCTTTAGAGATAACAATAATCCTAAAATTAGTTTTTTCAGTCATGTAATTATGCCTAAACAATATATTTTAATGTTGCTTATTTTTGAGATTTACGAATGTGGCATTTTTGAAGTGTGACATCTTCTGAAACTAATTTTTCACTCTAATTACATTTAAAAAATTTATATACATTATCATAATTATAGTTAAGTAATTTCCATGGCTGTAAAATATTCCTTTGTGTGAATAGCAGAATTTGTGTATCCACTTTCCTGGTAGATATTGTGTTTTTTTTCCAATGTTCAACTATTCTGAATATTTAAAGTATCTGAATGACATGTACAGGATTTTTTCTAGAATACCATCTCAGGAAGAGAATTGTTGGAAAGTAGGGTCTATGCATGGTTAGCTTTATGAGATAATTTGTTATCAAACCATTGTGATTTTTATTTCCACTAGCAGTATAAAAGTTTCCATTGCTCTTATACTTAATGAAGCAAACAGCTTCATTTTTCATACTTAATTTTTCCAAATCTAGCCAGCAGAAAATAACATCTTTTTTTTGCATTTCATTGATTAAATGATTCAGTTTTTAAAATATTTATTCACTCTTCTGATTTCCCCTGTATTTTATAATTTAAAGTATTCTATTGTATATATTTTCTTATTGATTTGTAGGAGTTTAAAAACATATATTCTGGAATACTAATCCTGTGTCCCGCATATATCTCACAATTATCTTCTCTCAGTCTTTTTTAATGCTCTTTATGGCAACTTAACATGTAGTCTTATGATTACCTACATATCACTCAGCCTATCTCACTAGACTAAAAGGTCCTGGAGGTAGGACACCATATCATATTCATTTTTTGTTCCCGAGCATCTAGTAACTGCTCCAAACATAGTGTTACTTGACTCACTGTTTATTAAATGAATGATTGGGTGAATGAATGACCTTTAGTAATGTGAATCAATCTCTTTTTAGTTAAATTTCATTTCATGCCCAGCCGGCATGGCTCAGTAGTTGAGCATCAACCTATGAACCAGGAGGTCATGGTTTGATTCCCGGTCAGGACCCATACCTGGGTTGTGGGCTCGATCCCCAGTAGGGGGTGTGCAGAAAGCACCCAATCAATGATTCTCTCTCATTGATGTTTCTCTCTCTCCATCTCCCTTCCTCTCTGAAATCAATAAACATATATTGAAAATAAAAATAGTCTAAATGTTTAAAAAAATTTCATTTCATACAAATTGGCTACCTCATAATGCTGAAGCCAAGCAAGTCAGAAGTATATGTTACACACCTTCCTGTAGTTGCATGTCAGAGATGGGTGTCAGGCACTAGTAAGAGGTGCTAGTATCTGCAGGGAGGCAGCAGAATGTTTGTAAAAATTTATTACCAGCTCTGAACATATGGCAATGTTCATTTTTCATCCTTTTCAGTGTACTTATAATTAACCATCCTTTTCAGTGCACTTATAATTCTTATAGTGAAATAATATTTAGCCTGAATTTGTCACAAAGTTAGGAATGATGTTAAGATATAAGATATGGATTACATATTACAATGGATGTGCAAGGCTCAAGGTTTGTGTCATCAACTTAAAATTGGTTACCTTTTTAGTAATGGTGTCCGGAGGTACATCCCGCCTCCCAAGAGGATAAGGATTCCATTGGCCACTAGGAGATACATCTTCTTGTCCATTGTCTAAAATGTTGCTTTGCTGGGACGGGGTCTATTGCAAAAATGGTATGGCATTCTTTAGTGATGTAATAGAAGTTTAATCATAGTTTTCTGAAGAGAGTCCCTAATGATTATGGTAAAATTAATTTTGTTTAACTGCAAAAAAACTCCATACATCCTGAATTGGAAGTATTACTATACACCTTTTACTCAGTAAAAAATTCTAAATTGACAGCTTTCTGGAAGCAGTGAGAAATTTAACTAAAGTAACATTCTTAGTGTTATATACTGAAATTTAAGGAAAAGTTGAGATTATTTACAGTACCTTAATAAAAATAATCAAAATAAAATTAACCGATAAAAACTACAACATTTAAAACTTGCTTGTTTCTTGAGTATGCTACTACCATTTAGAGTATAAATTGAAACCATAGAAACATGGTATGTAACTCTTAATATTTGAAACCACAGCCTAACACAAATTTTATAAGGCTGTACTGATTCTGGGAGCATATACCTTGTGCTAATCCAAAAGAGTGTTAACACTAGTATAGTGTATGTAAGATTCATGGTTATATGACCTTATCTACAGATAGCTATGAGGGGGAAATTAAAACAACATAAAAATATTGTATTATTAGAATCACAGTATAAATAAATTATGACTTTTAATTCAAAATTCATTTATATAGGTCACATGCATTAAAGTTTAAACTCTTCATATATATTTAATTTTTTGCTGATTTACTGCTTATTATTTTTAACAAATAATAATTTCTCTGTCTTTATTATTATAATAGTAGATATTTGCGGGGGGGGGGGGTTGTTCCTCCACAGTCTGACCTGAATAATAGGAAGGATTCATACACCATGGAGGGATATAATAGTGGGATATTTTTCTTCTGAAAGCAGATTAACGTTTCACAAAGCCTTTCTCCTCCCCGAACCTACAGGATACACAGGTACTAAACTCGAGTTCCTGAGGAATTCTTATGGGTGAGATACTATGTTTAGTGTTCCCTATTCCACTTTATGTGGGTGTTTTGAAGGATCACTACAGACACATAAAGCTGAGTTACAGCATGTATGTGCAGCTCTACTCTGTGAAATATTGTCGTCCAAAACCAGAAAGGGAGAACTAGACCATTCTCTTTATAACATGGCAGAAATGGGCTGTTTGCTAGGCTTCGTCTGATTACATGGAATAGTCCCAGTTGTTCTCCTTTAGAAAACAATTATATAACCACTCTATGTGTATTCTGACTGCATGCATTTTTTTAAAGCATTGTGTGGAGTTACTTGAAAATCAGATTTGTTATGAAACTAGATGAAGCTTTCCTAAGGTCTAATGGATATAGTGAAACGTAAGAAGATAACTCAGTTTTCTTCTTATTCTTTGGCCATGTGAATTTCTTTCTCATGAGCCTCTCTGAAAGAGTGAAAAAAGAGAAAAGGTATTGAATTGAATCTCCTGGGTTAGCTAGAAATGGATTTGTGTTTCTTTGGAAACCAAACATTAACACATTTAAAGTATATATTACTTAAAAATAACCAAATAACAATTCAGGGTCTGTCTATTTGTCTTTAAACATTAATTTTCTAGTCTTTGCCTTTTCCGGATTATTATTTGGGCATATGTCCCCAACCAATTTTTTTAGATATTAAAATACAACAACTCAAATTATTAAAATTAAGCAGTTAAAATATAATCATTCAGGATAGGCATTACGGGCCCACGGTTTTTTCTGGCTGGGTTTCTGTGCCAGAGAAGTGGGATAATAAAGTGTTCATCTGGCTAGGTCTGTGCAACACAGATTTTTTGAGAGTTCAACACAGGTATCTTTCTCTTTTCCTCCATATCACGCCATCTCTATTTCCTCCACTAAACTTGGTTCAGCTGGCCAGATATGACTTCTAGTCACAGAGAGCAACTAATAATTGCAAAATTCTTTATGGCATAAAAAAAGGGGGCTAAAACTCTTTAGTTAAATTTCTAATATTATGATGATATAGGCTCTTCATTAGTTTAGGAATTAATCTTTTTCTCTTTAAAATTAGGATCAGCATGCATACCAATTTCTCTCTATTATGGCCAAAGGAAACAAACAGGCAGACACATAAAGAATTACTTTCACTAGACAGTGAAATTAAAGAAATAGTCTGAACGCAATTTCCTTTATTACGTTCAAGAATGTTTTGGTCTTTTTGTGTTTAAGTAAGACATCCTAGGGGTGACTTCAGTTTGCAGAAATAGAGTATGGGAACAATTTATTGTTTGGGAAGGGGGAACCCAAGAGAGAGTTATATGGTAGGTTCACATTATTTCCCAAAATGAGCATAGACATTAACAAAAAATTGTACTCTTGATAAAGTGCTAATGAACCAAGTATAAATGGATTTGCTCAGTTGTTAAAATTCCACAGAAGATTAAAAGGAGCAATTGAAAAGTATAAAAAAAGTAATGAAGTTATCACTGTTGAAATTTATTATTTCAGAGAAAATAACCGAATTGATGTTCAGTTATTCATTTATTTTTAGTACCATACTCTAGATATTTTATTTATATACTTTAAAAGAGTAAGAATAAATCTTATCCTTACCACATGTAACCAATTAAATCTAAAGGACATGGAAAATCATCACCTGCAGCATTCTCTCAGCTTCTAAATTCTGTAGATATTCAATATTTCAAAATAATAGAGAAAATGGTCAGTATGATTTAGTGAAAAATCAAAAATTGTATTAAGAAATTCAGTAATGCTAGTAAAAGTTTTGCTGAATAGGTTCTGGTCCCAAAGACTGCTGCGGACATTTGTAGATTTAACACTGCTGTGAATGATCACACGTGTCTATTGGAAGAAGTAATTTCTAATTTTGCTGAGACATAAATGTGCATGAGTATGTGTGTGTCTCTATATATCTGTGTATGTATATAAGTGTGTGCATGCAGGTGTGTCTATATGTCTCCATATGTGAGTATGTGTATGTACAGGATTCACAGGTAGAAGTAAATGAGCTTAGCTGATCCAATAGCTTTGCTCTTGTCTGCTAATTAATGGGTACAATAAACGCTTAGTGCATTTCGTCGGAGGAATTATGTAAGTGTGGTATTACAATTTGGCACTTTGAAAAGGTCTTGGGATATATCCCTTAAGATCTCAAGGATCTATTTTGCTCAGTAATTGTTACATGATTCATGAAAGGCATTGCCATAGATTCAAAAAATGCTTTAAAATTAATTTTCCTCAAAATATTACTGGCAAAATTATTGTTATATTATTCTTTTCCTGCATATTTTTGAAAAAAATTAGGTATTATAAAGACAACTATATGCCAAGCTTGAAACTAAACTATTATGATATCACAGGGTTCAGTCTGAAGGTGGTAAGGTCATGTCAACATGATTCTTAAACCAGCATTTTATTACAATGATGAAGAAGCATCTGTATGGATGCTAAGATTATTTTGGTAAGTTTAGCTCCTACTGATGAAAATGTATGTGGCTTATAAGATAAAAGCATTTTGCATAATTAGGAAGTTAAGAGATCCTTCTTGAGGGTAGGTAGCCAATAATAAATGCAGCAAGATCAATAGAAACTGTAGGCATAAACTGCCCCTAGGTGCCACCTAAATGGCATCAAGTAAGTAATCCTTGGAACTGGGGTAAATAAATGCATGTAAAATGTTGGCACTATTTGATCCTGAGTCGTCTGCATAGATGCAGTAATAAAGGACATTAGAAATTTTAATTTAGATTCAAGTATTGCTATCTAAACTTATCTAATTCAAAATATAGAAGAATAAGTATTAACCAACAAAACAGCTAAGATTTTCTTCCAGGAAAAATTCCATGAAAAGATGATTTAATACATATATTTCTATAATTTCAGCATCCCTTCTCTTGAAATTATAATTTATGTTAATATCTGTTTTAATAATCCAATAAGCATTAGGTGCTATGGTATAATATTATAGTGGGAGACGTTAAAAAAAGAAAGAAAAGGAAACAAAGTATCAATTGCTCCAGTGTAGAAGAGACCACGCTATTAATATTGGCAGCCAGAAACCTGCAAACGAAAGTTAGAAAAGGCCAATGATTTTTTCCACATCCCTGCTTATCCCTGGGGCTGCAGTAGCCTGGATGATTAATTCATGATTTTCTTGGGTTCACAACCTTTGGTCTTTGACTGCTAAAAGCATATTTCTAAGCGGTAGTAAGTGCTCAGGAAGTGCAAGAGGATCTTAATAAGTGCAAGGTAACTATTAGCATTTAGTAAGCTCAGCTAACTCAGAAAGCATGTGTCTGTAGCACATAGGGGAAGATTTGGGTCATGATTATGCTTTGGATAAATGAATATATCCTACTTATGTGTTCTTTCTTTCACCCCGTGATATCTACGTTTCTGGATTGTTATGAAGATGATGTGGGTGAGATGTGTGTGTGTACAAGAGAGCTTTATCAACTCTTATGAACCATGTTCTAAGGAATTGCCAGGCTTTACAAAAATTTGAGAAGGCATCACCATAGAGTAAACAGCAGGAACTTGGGTGCCAAGCAGAGTCAGATTCCAATTCTAGCTGCCCCGATGCTAGGGACAGGGGTTACAATAGTAAACAGTAAAAATACAAGTGACTCATTTTCTGTGACACATGAACCTCAGATTTCTCATCTATATAATGAAGATAAATACTTCCTATGAGAGTTTTTGTTAGAGGTGGGTGAAAAAATATATTTAAAGTACCTCATTGTACCAGGTACATAGTAGATTCTCAATAACGTTTATTCTTTATTCTTCTTCTATCAAAATATTTATTCTACCATTAATATGGATAATAAAAATGGTAGTCTGAATTGACATTTTATAATACAGTTGACCCTTGAACACCACATGGTTAGGGGTGCCAATTCCTTTGCAGTCAAAAATCCACATATACCTTTAACTTCCCCAAAACTTAATTACTAATAGCCTACTGTTGACCGGTAACCTTACTGATAACACAGTTGATTAACATATATTTTGTATGTTATATGTATTATATATTGTATTTGTGCAATAAAGTAAGCTAGAGTAAATAAAACGTTATTAAGAAAATCATAAGGAAGAGAAAATACACTCACAGTATTTACTGAAAAAGATCCATATATAAGTGGACCTGTACAATCAAACCCATGTTGTACAGGGTCAACTGTATTATGCTTCTCTCTGATAACATAACATTTTAAGACAATAGCTAAGTTCAATTACAACAGAACACATCCGAAGAAGCACATAGAACCATTAATAACATCATAGAAAGTTGCCTTATGCTTTTTGGAGCGGCAGTAAATAAAAAAATGAGTAAATGAATGAATGAATGAATGAATAAATAAGTAGATAGAAAATATAAAAGTTTATAATTTAATAGATGATTTATGTCTTAAATGTTCTGATCATAAGTATCATTACTTTTTTAGGAAATTAGAATCATCAATAAATGAGAATATTAAAGAAAATTAAATTTATTAAACTAATATCTTAAGAGGTTCCATAAAATTAAATTAGAAAATGTAATTTACTCTTTATCATATGGAAAGTCTATATTTAGTTTGTAATTCATGAAAAATGTGCAATACTCAACCTAGCATAGATTAAATATAAAAATGGAACTATTCAAAACACATAGCAAAATCTGGGAGAGTCTTCCCTTTCTGTCCACGTAAATATTCACTGTGTAAATACCTTATCAAGTACAGAGTCTTCAATCTTCATTCACAAATAGTTATATCCTTTCATTAGTTTACTACAAATTTATTTAAAGAAAGTTGAGAAGAAAAAGCAAACAAACTAGATATGTTTTGGCAAACTAAAAAAAAAAAAAAACCCAAACCAAAAAAAGAAATAATGTGCTGAGTCAGGATCTCAGCTTACACAAATGGCACCTTTCTGTCAATTACCAAAAAGGAGATGGTGGGGAAGGTAGGAATCACAAAAAGGCCCACTTCTCTGGGTGCATAACTTACAAAAAGACAGTCTTAATGGGGCGAGGAAATACACAAAGGTGCTCCTTTCCTCTAATTACCAGAGGTAAGACTTGGCAAGCAGGGAGCATGGGAAAAGTCTAGATTTCAGTGCCTGAATATCCCTTTGGCAGGGCACAACCACACAAAAGTATGCTGCAACTTTATTTCCCTTGCTTAACTTGTTTAGATTCCTTAGGATACTTAAATTCATTTTTTCTAGCACCTACCTAGAGATGGCTAATATTATCATTCAGGAATTTTATGAATAAAAAGACAGGGCCAGTGTTTCCACAGGAGAATGGACAGCTTTGTCAACTTTATCTGCTGAAAAATGCATGCTTAAAAATTGACCTTATTTTGTATTTTAGTGGAATTCTTGTGGCCAACAAATATTTAGGGGCTGCAAAGAAATTGTAGATATCGGATATTAATTTTTATTATCTTAAGAGGCAAGACAAAAGTGTTGAAACGGATGTTTATGCATTTGTAAATCAAAGGAAAATCTTTTTTGTCCATCTCCTTTCCTGTAGAAAAGAGTTCAGGGAAAGTGAGCCCCAAGCATGGGATCAGTTAGCAACACTGGTCAGTGGAGCCAAGAAGGGGGATTCTGAGAGTCTGCCTCTTCAGAGTGGTGATGGGAAAGCCTGGCAGAAAAACCAGACAGATTTTCCAATTAAGGAAGCCCTGCAGAACAGATGTACCTGCCCAAAGGCGAAGGGCAGAGAATTGGACTGGAAGCCATGGGAGGAAGCAGAGGCTGGAGGAGTCTCAAAAGTGAGTAAGCACCACTCAATGTCACATATGATGGAGTTCCTGCAATGGCGGCAGGGTAAGAAAGTTGTCCCAGATGCCCAAAGGCCTAAAGTTTAGACACCTTAAACTGATAGTTTGGGGTCATTAAATCTTTTGGTGGTAATAGAATACTTGCCCTGCCTGTGTTCCTTTTCCACCCCCTGCCTTCTGTGTCTCTCTCTCTTTCTCTCTCTGTGTGAATAATGCAATATTGACGATAATTCATTTTCAGATGGAGTCTTGCAATAACTGAATTATTCTTGATTTGCACTTTAATGTAGCTTCCAAAGAGAATTCCTTTAGGTCATCTCTGTGCCCAATGGGGGAAGGTTGAAGAGTCTCTAAATATTATAACTCTGGAATATTTCTGTTATAGATCATCCTAAAACTATAGTAAGCATAATGAATCCATTCTCTAGGGTACCCCAAACAACATCAGAAAATTAATATAGCAATACAGAGGTACCTAAATTACATCTGGAGATAATTTAGACATTCAGAAAGAGCGCTTCAAAGTATATTACCATTTTTAGCACTGAATATGTCTGTATTATTCTATAGAGTGATAAGTAAATAAGGCTAAAAATTAGGCAGAATAAGGAGCTATTTATATGGTATAACTTTAAGGGATTCAAGCAATAGCTTCCTTCATACCAAGACCTCTCTAATCTCACTGAATTTTGAAACTCAATCATTTTAGTTTAATGGTTTCATTTCTATTACTTGTCAAGCCCTCCAGGAAAGGTGCCTATTAAAATTGTGACATCTCATCTATTACTTAGTGCAAATAAGTTTCAAGGCCTTTTGGAAAACTGGTTTCCTTGTGGCCGAGGATGAGAGCCTTGGGTGTCTGAGAGAACATGAAACAGGCTCCATAAAAGCTGGGGCTCCAGCAAAAAGGGACTCGCAGATAGTGGTATGTGGAAGCTGACTAGTATTAGCTCATGGGAACCATTTGTAGTCAAGCCCCAGTTCTGAGTTCAGTGGTGTTACGTTGGTACTTTGAAACCATCTGTAGAGGGAGTATTTATATCGCTGACATTGGCAAACATCACAAATCATGGCCATGTTTTTCTTCCTGGAGAGGAAGTTACTGACACACCACTGGTCCTGCAACAGGAGACCAAGGACAAACAACACTCAAAGGTTCTTAATTTAGTTAGTTTTTTTTTTTCCAAAGTGATGATACATTTGTGAATGTAAATATCTCTTTGATTTTATTTCTCTACTCACAGTGGGAAGCAAACAATCCAGAGGTAGAGATTGTTTGTAAGACTAGTTTGACATTAAAACCTGAATTTGAGGTCTTTTGACTCTCATTTTGCTAGGATGGGAGTTTGCTCCATATGGCCATTAATTTATTAGGAGGCTACTGTCACTCTGTTATTCCCACTTTGCAGTGCATTTCCCCCCCTAAAAAGTTACGAGGCTAATGACTATATTTATAATAAAGTCTTAGTGACAGATTGTGTAAAAATGTCTCATTAGTATCCATCAAAATGTAACCAAGACAGAAGGCATTAATCAATGTAAACAGGTAAAATGTACATTCTCAGTTTTGCTTGAATAAAATGAGCAGAAATGTTCCTTCGCCAATGGAAATGTTTCATCTTACAGTGTAGTCTCTTTCAAATGAGCCTACGTTTTCTTTTATTAGCCTAGGTTGAGGAACAATTTGCTCGGGAAGCCACAAACTTGTATCTCATGTTTTACTTCTGTGTAGTATTTCCTGCAAGGAAAACAGGCTGAAAAAGCACTTAGAGGTATTGACCACTTAATTTCCATTCCAATTGAGGAACTCTGTCTTTTCCAAAGGAATAAACAGAAATCTGGTTATAATCTTTAGCTCTGTTCTTAGAATGCATCAGCCAGTTAGAGGCTCTCTAAAAAAAAGATATGTATGAAAAAAACAACAGAGAATAAGAGAAAAAGAAAATGAGTAACTTGAACAATGAGCCTGAAAGCAACACAAAAAGCCATGTACCTGCTCAATCCAAAAAGCAAAGCTGTAAAGCAGGAACCTGATAATCAGTCTAGCTACAAATATCCATTTAGCAGCTAAGAAGAGTTCAGGCTCTACATTATGTGCCCTGGTGCTTTAGGGACTCGTGAGAGTCTATAAGCAGGGCTGTATGTACAGCCTAAACACAGTAAGTAAGCAAACTTTAATTGGCTTTGGTATGCTGACACATGTAGGGCAGTCCATACTTACTTTCTGAAGAGGTAGTTCTTGTAGATCAAATTTAGACTTAGTCTGCAAGTTTAAAGTCATGCTTCTGCCTGCATGCATTGCTGAAATACCTCCATAGGGCAGCATGCCAAGGTTAACTGTGTTGTGTTTGTAAGCAGCGTTCTGAGTAGAGGAGATAATCATGTGACAGGGTGTGAACACATGCTCAACAAACTGATTATAACATGAACATGTTTCAATTTATCACATTTAACTTTAAGCGAGCAAACAGTAACTTTCTTTTCAAAACATGCACTCGATCAGACAGAAGCAAACGGTAAACAGTGTTAGTTATGCACATAATGAGTACCATCCAAAACTACAGAAAAGACAAAGAGCAAAGATACATTCTGTTTTATATTTGCTGCTAACTCAAAGGCATAAAATCTATCTCGTATATCATGATAGCAGTGATTTTGGACAGGTGTTGTTTATCTGTGGAAGTCTATCAATTAAAAAAGTTTAAACAGTGAGGTAAGTCAGTAAACTTTTGTCAGCTGCAAATCTCACGGTGTCTTTCACATTATGAGTTCATCACATACAAAAGACAAATACTAGCTTCTGATCCTGCCTTAAAACCGATGCACTCAATGTTGCAGCCAAAATCAGTTTATTTTATTTCTCAGTTTATAGGCTTACTTACAGCAACTCAGAAAAAGAGCTGGTCAAAAGCTCGTTCAATTTGACCACTGGCTGACTGAATTTATAGATTAATTTAGTCAAACCAGTCAAATAAGTTGTATGAAGATCCAAATATTCTAACTTTTTTATTTCTTAAAAATTACATTTAAATTGGAGAAATTTCATAATGAAACTAAAGGAATTATGATTTGAACTATTAATGCTACTTATATACTACACCTAAATAACTATAGAAAACCAGTACTGTTTTAATTGTGGCTACCCTTCTAAAGTTATTGCAAGTGTCTGATAGTTAATTTTTTCTACAGAACTTCATTTAAAAAATTCAGATATTTTGGGTGACTGGTCATCAACTAGTTTTCATCGGTACAATCTCTACTTTCCACTTATAATGAAAATGTAATAACTCAGTATTTGATCCTTTAGGTAATTCTCTTATTTTGAAAAAAAAAAATCTATAGAAGTTAACTTAATATCCTTTTAAAAAACTGAACACTAACAGTAGACAGCTAATCGACTCTAGGACATTATTTGCAAAGCAATGATTTTTAGCGTCAGAGTTTCACTGACCAATAAGATTTGTTACAGATTTTTGATTGTTTTATCATTATCACTATGCCAAAATTGAAAAGGACACTGAACAGTTCAGTCTAGCCCTTGATTTCTTAAGGATTAAAATCACCCCATCTAGTGCTCTATCAGCTTCTCTAGAAGAGTAGCAGTTTCAGACACATGGGTTCATGTTCTAATTTCTCTCAGTCACAGTGGGGCTCTGTGGTGCAAGCTTGAGCCTTGAGGTTAAATTAGAGGAAAAAACGGGCATCTTTTATCCAGCGTTGTACCTGGAGCTGCCTCTCCAAGTACCGACCCAGAGCTTTAACCAATATCATGTTGGTCTGTTAAGCTTATCGGAGCTTAAAGGCAGTTCTGTTTTATGAGGACTGGACAAAGATCTATAGTTTCCAATGTAACTATTTGATTGCCAGGGTTCACACTGATCAATTGAATTTTACCGGGAAAGAAGCACAGCACGTCTCTGGTGCAGTCTGACCTTGGACAAATGTTCAGTAGCACAGCTATGTCAAAACTAGTTTTAGGCAACACATCTGCGCTTCAGAACCCTGGATTCATCTCGTTGAGTAGCTGAGAAATTTTAAGTACGAGACAGCCTGAAAAGCTCAGTATGCCAATTGAGAGGGAGCATAAATCTTATTTGGAAAAAATTAGAGGAAGAGCTTCTAGGATTCAATGACTTGAAGCAATTCTCTAAGGCAATTTAATATCAGAATTAAATGAGAAGCTATTAACATACATTGAAGTTGCTCTGAAAAATGAAAGACACTAATAAAATGATAATCAAACCAGGGATACATGGAGGCTAATTGAAAAGGGAGGTGCTGTCACAGCAATGGGAAATATATGAGTTAACTTTTATGTATCTGGACTCTGGGACAGGCAGCGCCTCCAAACTTCTGGTGATCCAAACCCCCCTCTCACAGTCTTATCTTCCTCCCTCCAAATTCCTACTCCAGTTAGAGGAGTCACCTACGTGTCAGTAGCTCTGATCAAAGGAGAGAAACCATTTAGCTGGGAAACCAGTAAATGAGAATGATGGTACCAAATGTTCAGAATTTGTTTTTCTTTTTTTATGCTTTGTTTCCACTCACTCCTCTGCTGCCTCAAATTACTCATCATTGTACATATGCTCTGAAAAGCTTCTTATAACCTTTCTTGACTAGTTCATCTTACCCTGTTACGTATGGTCGTGTCTACACGAGGCCAGAGTTTCCAAACTGTACTGTATTATTTGGCCCCAAATATTTTCGCCCTCCAAGTTATCTGTCTACATGGAGGGTGTAACTTGAGGTAAGGCATGGTGACAACCGACCAGGTGTCTCCCACTGACAGCCAGTCATGAGGCTTTGATGAGGCTCCCTTCAATGGGACTGAGCACACCTATTTGAAACAGACATTCTGATGAAATACTTGGCAAGGCAGAACCAATTTCCACAGTGAGAAACTAACACCCACACCCACACTTATTAGTTCACGCTTTCCCCAACAAGGATTGTTTTCTTGTCATGTAGACACGACCTACAAACCTACGGTCAATGCAGGGCACACAAAGGCCACTCCATAATGATGGTCACTGGTCACAGTTCTAGAAAATGAATGACCAGATTCCTCTAAAAGAGAAATAATAGGCAACAAAAATAATACTAGGCTTTATACATTTTTTTTTACTCCTCAATAATTATGCATTCCATGCTTCATTGTGACTTAATTTTTTTATCTGAAATGGTATTCATTTCCTTTTTTGCTGCAATATACACACTAATTTGTACATTTGTAGTCTTTATAAAGACATCATCTATTTCTGTTGTCTGTAGTATGATTTGAATTTAAACATTTCTTTCTATATAAAGACTAACATTCTAAATGGCGGGATTTTTATTAAATAAAATAACATGTAGGGGGCATTCAGTGTCTGCTTGTTTTATTTTTCTGTTTCTTGTTGGGAAGATTATTACTCCTTTGAAGTAATAACTTTAGTAGTCCCAAAGTGGTAACTATATGCAAATTTTATAAACAAATTAGACCTGACTTTAATAAAAGTGTGTCCATGCAGAAAGGGGCAAAATACTAACTTTTTACGGATTCAATAAAAATCATACCCTTTAGGTCACCAGAGAACAGTTTTGTGCCTTCGGAGAGATAATTTGCCTTAATGGCTCGAAAGTGACTGAAGCACCATCCCATATAATCAAGTGAAATTCTTTCTTGCTAACAATATTTAGGCTAGATTTGGTAAACAACTCACCTACAGGTGATGGACTCTCCAAGAGCATTAAACAACACCCACGAAAAACTATAAGGACCAATTCCCCGCAATATAAAGATAAACAAAATGCTGATCATCTATTCACCCATGTAGTTCATGCTTCACTACATGGACTTAGAAATGCCAATAAAATAAAACTAAAGGCAGGAGGGATATTCTTACAGAGAAATGCCAAACATACCCTGTCTAACCTTCTAGCTTCTATATGTCTAAGCAGCTGTTGTCTCCAGTCTGCAGGCATTTTACCACAGCTCTCCTCTCCCTTCACAGGAGTGGGCCTCGTCTTTATATCACTGTTATCTGATGGCTTGTCACCATAGTTACCCAAGTTATAGTCAGATGGTATTTTTTCCAAAAGAGCTGCCATAGTAGGCCTAGCTGAAACTGGTCTGGTTTGGGAGGCACCGTAACTCTCTGTACTGTAGCTTCTTGCAGACAATGGCCTCCTCTGGGTAAGGTTTTTAACCGGAAAACTTCCCGCCTGAGCTTTTACTTCTTGATATGAAGGGTGTTCGTCTTCATACCTGCCATTCCTTTTCAGGAACTGGGGCTCAGTCACGGAAACGCTGCTTTGGCGATCCAGACCGCCCCTATACGGAGGTCTGCCGTACCGATCGCTCGGAGGCAGCTCGTGCGGTTCACTGACCCTTCTAAACATGGCCATTTCTGTGGCGCTCACCAGGGAGTCGGCTCTTCGCAAGAAGCCCGCCCTGGCCCCTTGGCTGGCGAACTGGGCGTTCACCACCGCATCCTCATTGACAGATGGCTGGGAGAAGGAGAACATCTGCTCCATGGGCGGGTAGCCTCTGTAAGCTCTCGGACTGATGAGATCCTTGGCGAGGCTCTTGCCGGGCGGCTGCATGTACTCGGAGTTGTGTTGGAAAGGGGGCGGCATCCTCTTGTCGGCTTTCACTTCCACGGCTCCTTGGGGATTGAAGCTTTGGTCGAACTGGTAGACTTTCTTGGTCATGGACGCTTTCTGTGGTTGGGGCCCTTTACTGCCTCCATACGTGAGCATCTCGTCGTCCAGCATCGGGACCGACTGGCTGCGAGACATGCTGGACATGCCGTGCTCGGGCCCCAACAGCTTATCCGGCCGCTCGTGGCTCCCTAAGTGATCGCTTCCAGAAGCATAGTTTTCCAGCGGGATGTTATAAACCTTGTAGGTGCCGATGTCAATTTCATCGATGCTCTGTGACTTTTTGAATTTGTTGGACTTGATGTCTTTCATGAGTGGGGACAGCCTCTCTGTGCTTTTGCTGATGGGAATGCCTTTAGAAGATTCCGGACGGCAGTGGATTTGCGAGAAGACGTTGCCAAGACTCCTGTTGGGATTGGAATCGTGGTACTCCCATGGTAGTCCTGGAGAAAAAGGACTGGGTATGTCAACGGAGTCTTTCATATGTTCTTTCCTTTCAGGCAATGGGCTGGTGGTGGGGGTGGTCTCTAACTTGGAAGGGAAAGCGGTCCTGTCTTCAAAAGGGCTAGGGGTCCTGGTCCAGTTCTGCCAAGGATTGGAAGGAGGCACTTCTGTTTCCGGCGTGTGTCTGTTTGCAGACTGCTCCAGCTCCAGGGGAACGCCGACAATCCTGTCCTGCCTGATCAAAGGCCTGCGTCCATGAGCAGGTGGGTTTCTAGATTTGGAACCTAAGAGAGGGTTGCTGCTGGCATTCTCGCCTGTGGTTTCCTCGCCAACAAACCCTGTGTTATCATAATGTGAGCCATCAGTCCAGTTGTCAGTGAAGGTGTCACTCATTGGCAGCCGGTCAGGGCGCTGTGGTAGATTCCCTGGGGGAACAGCCTCCCGCTGGCTGAGTAATGGCTTTGAATCAAGAGGCTGTGGGAAAGACTGTGTAATCCTGTAAAGACAATGGGAAGAAGCATGAAAATGGGTCTTTGCCAGAAATGGAATAAGCAGTCAAGAATATCACCATCCTTTGTTGAACTGCTCATTCACCCATACCTGTCTTATGATTAAGACCTCACTACCATTTCATGTCCAAAAAATCCACCCTTTACCCTGCTCTGACTTTAATTTCTTCCTAGTAATCAACAACTTCTAACATACTATATATTTTAGTTATCTATTATATTGTGTATTATCTTGTGTCCTCTGCTAGAATGTAAACTTACTAGTATGAGGGCAGAGATTTTTTTTCTTCAGGTCCACCATTGTGGCTGGCACAGAGTAGGTATTAAAAATATATTTGTTGAATGAATGAATGAATGAATGAACTATACAGTTCTTTGGTATTGGTCTTGTAGCCTGTCTGATAATTAGAATCACCTGACTCCTGGTCCCAGTTCCTGGAATTTCTGATTCATGACATTTACAAACTATTGGTTGAGAGTACCTGTCTGTAAATGCTTGGTGTACCTAATAAACCCAAACTGTCTTCAAATAAAATTTATTTGAAAACAGGTATTGAAAATATTAAACCCATTGCATAGGGAACATACTCATGTACAGTGGGGCCTTGACTTATGAGTGTCCCAACTAATGAGTTTTTTGAGATATGAGCCGTCTCTCGGCCAATTTTTTGCTTTGATTTGCGAGCTAAAATTCGGGTTATGAGCCAGCTTCAGATACCCCACCGCTAGCTGGCACAGTGAACCTCACAGTGAACGCCACAACATCAGCCCAGCATCATGTTTCTCACTTGTTCACTTCTTGATTTGACATACGAGTAATTTGAGTTATGAGCTCTGTCATGGAATGAATTAAACTTGTAAGTCAAGGCCCCACTGTATCTTTAGAATGCATATTGTATTATGTTCTATTCGACTCTATTATATTATATTAGAGGCCCAGTGCACAAATTCATGCACCAGTGGGGTTCCTTGGCCTGGGGTTGGGATTGGGCTGAAGCTGGCTCTCTGACATCCCCCAAGGGGTCCAGGATTGCAAGAGGGCACAAGCCAGGTTAAGGAACTCCACCAGTGCACCATCGAGGCTAGGGAGGGAGGGATGGGGGAGGTTGGCCAGCCAGGGAGGGACTGTGGGAGGGCTCCAGGGCATGTCTGGCCCATCTTGCTCAGTCCCAATCAGCCGGACACCAGCTGCAAGCTAACCTATCCATCAGAGTGTCTGCCCCCTGATGGTCAATGCATGTCATAGCGCTTGGTTGACCAGTTGACTGTTTGCCCCCTGGTGGTCAGTGCATGTCATAGCGAGTGGTTGAGTGGCATATCATTAACATATTATACTTTGATTGGTTGAACAGCTGACTGGTAGACCGGACACGTAGCATATTAAGCATTTATTATATAGGATGACTTTTGGTCATTGGCATGTTCATACCAGTGACCACAGTATGTCTAGAAGATGTCAATTTTTTAAAACCATTTGTACAATAATAATAATATTGAATTATATATCTTTTATCAGTGAGCAAAGACTTTTAAGTGTTTTTGCTAATGAAGAAAGTACCTAAATTAATCTCAGCTTATAGAAAAAAAATAATGAATTTATAAGGAGTTAAGAGTTAATATTATCATGGGCATCAGTGAACAGAAAGTTATTTATTAATTACCAAACAATTTATGGCCAACAGTAGTGATATTATCAGTAAAGTATGAATGAAAGTCATTGTTTAGTTATATCATACTAGTGGCCCAGTGCGTGCACATTGAAAGGAAATTAATTAGAAGGTGACTGGTGGGGTGGGACTGGGTGAGATGGGCCGGACACACCCTGGAGCCAACCTTCCTCGGTCCCTCCTTGGCCAGCTGCACCTGGGGCAGAGCTGTGGCTCAAAGGGCATCTGTGGAGTGAGCGGGGTCCCTCGGGCAGGTTGGGTCCGTTGGCCTGTTTTGCGGGGCCTGCGGGGCCTGCAGGGCCTGCGAGGATTGGGCTGAAACTGGCTTTCCAACATCCCACAGGGGGTCCCGGAGTGCGAGAGTTGCTGTCACTGGGCAGCTCCTGTGTTGAGCATCTGCCTCCTGGTGATCAGTGCACGTCATACCTACCGGCCCATTGACCGGTTGCTTAGCCTTTTATATCTATATAGATGATTATTTTTATTTGCTATTTGTAGTGTAAAACAGTAACAAGTTACAAAACAAGGAATCAGAACTGGGCAAATACTACCTCATCGAGTCACTTTATAGTGGTCTGTGGCTTTAGTTGTTTTTGTGTGTAAAATGGAGGTAATATAGAGTAGGATCCATTTTGGAAAGACTAAATATTTTCACCTATATTCTAACTTTTCCAGGTAGTAATAAAATGATGATAGCAATCAAAAATTTATTGAACATTTACTTTGTACTAGGCATACAAGGGCTTTACATACATCTTGCTTTAATCCAGTGGTCCTCAACCTTCTGGCCCTTTAAATACAGTTCCTCATGTTGTGACCCAACCATAACATTATTTTCGTTGCTACTTTGTAGCTGTAATGTTGCTACTGTTATGAATTGTAATGTAAATATTCGATATGCAGGATGGTCTTAGGCGACCCCTGTGAAGGGTCATTTGACCGCCAAAGGGGTCGTGACCCACAGTTTGAGAACCGCTGCTTTATCCATAACACCATTATGAGTGGTGAAATGACTACATAAATATAATAAGTATTGGGAAAAATTTTTTAAAAATTGTTGTTCCGTTCTATCATCTCAACCTGTTATTAATCTACAATCTCTCCCTTAAACGATGGCTTTGCTTTATAAAATGGATTCAAGGTGCTCTTGGAAATTCCAGGGGCCTCCATTTGCTTACCTGCCCCTGTATCATTTTCTATGATACAATTCCAAAGTTAAGATGATTTCACTTTCATAAGTTGCTGAAAATAAACATTTGGGAACAGAAAAGAGGGAATTCTGAAAACACACCTGTTACCCCACAAAGAACTATGTACTGCATCTTTAGCTGTTGTCTGCAAGGACCCCACTTTAACCCGGGCGTTAGAGGATCCTGAGGAAGCCTGGGAGGGCGAGTAGTCTGAGTAAGTGCCTGAGGAAACACTGTTATTCAGACAGTGAGTTTTGTCAACTTCAGACTCATCAGTTGATTCTGAAATGTAAAGGGAAAATATTACAATGCTCTGAACACTGACAATTATAAACACAGAAAAGTAAGGATAAAAACAGATAGCATATTGATAAATGTTAGAAGTACATAATTGTAAAATTTTTCTATAGACTATGGTGTATCATAATTTACAACTGGTGATTCATCATGCACATGCATTTGTGGTGTATTTTACACATCAGGTTCACAATGTTACCTTTTTTGTCCTTCCCTAGCAGAACAAGTTTGGGTGGGTACAGAGGGGTCTCAGCTAATGAAGGGTGAAGCTCCCCAATCCTCATATCATTAGCTGGATGAACAAAAGAATCCTGAGAGATATAATAATATAGGACAAGGAAAGTAAACATTTAAAACAATGGTTAACCAAGATGGCAATATTTTATTTGGTTCAGATTTAAAGATGGGGGTTCTAAAACTTAAATTCCTGTGGAGCACTGGGAGTAGTGAATCCTATGTATCTCTAAGGTAAGCCCTAATTTTTTTCTAATTTAAATGAGTACATTTATTCATCAGACATTTGTTGAATACTGTTTATATGCCTGACACTGTGCAAAGAACTGTACAAGTTCCAAAGAAAGACAAGATGTCACCCATACTGCCGGGAATTTATAATCTAGTTGGGAAGATGAGATATAACTCATTATAGCACAGGATTCAATTATGATAAGCCTTATATGAGTAAGATGATACATATAATATAAGCCATGTAGGAGTTCTAAGGGGAAAACTTCTTAACAGTTTTAAAAAGAAAGTATATCACTGATTAGCTGGATTTTTAAAAAAATCCTTAGTTATATTAATGCAAAACTGGATCCTCTAAGTCTTGCTTTTACCACCAATCTCCCTTTTAATTCCTACTGTTTCCCAAGTGATCCCAATTTCTTTTATTCTATCATGCTTTGTTCCTAAGCTTTCTCATATCAGTCTAGCCTGCTAAATCTCCATTCTAAATCCATCCATTGAGTGTAATGAGCTACATTGGCATGAGAATAGAACTGTATAATGACAATTTAACATGTAAAAAAATCTATAAATTTACAACTTCTACAATTCAAATTATTATTTCCAGGTAACCACGTATAGTGGTAGAGAATTAGGGAAGACAAAAATACCAAATTCTCACTTTTTTCTAGATATTTTAAAAAATGGCTTGTCTATGTATCTACTGATGTAAATTTATGCACAGCAGTTATCTTTATGTCTATTGTCCCTTGATCTTTAGGTTAATTGGAAATAAAAAAATAATTTTCAGATTTATTTTCATTTATTAGTACTTGCTAGTTTGGGACATTAATATAACATATTTGGAAATATTTTATTAATTCAGAGAAAAAATATACTTTTTTTAAAATTTTTTATTTTTTATTTTTTTTTAAATTTTATTTTTTATTACAAAGGGTATTACATATGTGTCCATTTTTTCCCCCCGCCCTAGACAGTCCCCTAGCCTCCCCTACTCCCCAGTGTCTTATGTCCATTGGTTATGCTTATATGCATGCATACAAGTTCTTTGGTTGATCTCTGAGAAAAAATATACTTGAGGACAAAAATATAAAAAGTGCACTGGTCCTGCCTGATGATTAATCTGTGAGTAATGATCAGATAGAAGCTCTCATTATAAATGTTACGGTCTCCCTAGTGACAGGCTTAGGGTTTCGGGTATTGCAGAGAAACATCCATTTCTTTAAATCTTGGCTTAAGTTCTATTTTTTGGGTTGTTTTGGTTAGGTTGATATGGGAATATTTGCCTGTGAAAAACCTGGGTAGACTTGATACTTTTGTTTTTGTGTTTAAAGAATATTTTAGGGGAAGAAGACTAAAGATCATCTAGTTGATCTTTTCATTTCTTTTCCTAGAGGTGGATTCTGAGACTCAGCAAGGTTGACACAGACGGACAAAAGCCCAGCATGGAGGCATGATTCCACTGGGCTCTAGTCCACTGATCTCCACGAATATTGTGCTGCTTCCTGGTGAGCTCAGCTGGGAGAACAGCAGACACTTAAAATTGATTGATGGACATACTGGAGATGAAGAGGAAAATAGGTGTTTTTGTAGATTTTGAAAGTTGTTTCAAAGAAACTTATGACAAAATTTTAAGTTGGAAGAACAGAGAATAAAAGTTTACACATCTTTGGAGAAATGTATAAGTAGAAACAGATGCAAGTTTGATAAGTGGGATCATGAAAGGCATAAAATATATAGACTTTCAAAAAAGTGTCAGTGACAAGGTGGCCTATTTCCATTTTATTCCTGCTTTACCATTTATTGACCAGGTTACCTTGGGAAAGTAAGTGTAACTCTCTACATTTTACTCAATTCATCAATAAAATGAAGGTAATTGAAAATAAGAAACTGTGCAAATTTCTGTCTAGTACTAATATTCTATAAGTACAAGTATAGCTTATTTGTTGAAATAATATTAAAATACTCTTATGACGTTTAATATTGAAGTATAGGCCTTTTGTTTTAGTCAAAATAACAAACCAAATAGATGTACAATGCAGAAATGTAAATATAATAAAGGGTTTTACTTTTTTTCCCCATTATGCCTTAGACATTCAATAATTATCTTATATGTTTAGATCAAAGTTTCACACTTATACCCCAACTGGTTCATAGATGGCCATCTTCTCTCTGTGACCTCACATGATGGATGGAAGGGGCTAGGGAGTAATCTGGGTCTCTTTTATAATCTCATTAATGAGGGCTCTACCCTTACTAATCACCTACCAAAGAGCCCACCTCCAAATACCATCACATAGGTTTTAACATATTAATCTTTGCGGAGATACAAAAATTCAGTCTATAGCACAGCTCTTTACATAGCTAGAAATTCCTCATTTTTTAATTTTCAGGATAAAGATTATTACCTCAACAGAAAGGCCTTCCTTGGTCACCCTGATCAATAGGACCCTCTGATCACCCTGTTTATTTGCATTAAATATAATAAAAACATTTATTATTATTTAATTTATTAACTGCAGACTGAGTTTCGTGAGGGCAGGGCCCACGTCTGTTTTGTCCACTATTGTCCTCTCAATGTCTAGCACAGTGCCGACTATAGAGTAGGGGCACAATAAACATGTGTTGAATAAGTGAATGACTGATATGGTCTAATGTTGTAACCCTGGTAACATGTTTCCATCCAATCAGAAGTTTATTGAAGGCCAAAACAATTCCTCTGAATTTTTCTTGAATTAAGTGTTGGCTGCCATACCTGTGCACATTTTATCACTTGTTTGTTGAATCAAATGTATTTTCACAACATCAATCTACCACGTGGCCAATAAAATAGAATCCTTCTTAACTCTGATGGTCTAATACAATATATTATGGATATGAATACATTAATATAATATTATGAATAAAGTTAAAATACAGTGATGGAGGATATTGTCGAGTGAAGAAAGCAGGGAGAGAGGAGAGAAGGAAGAAGGGAGAAGGGGAAAAGTGAATAAAACTCTGACATAAAACAATTAAAGGCCAGAAGTTCCTGAATTCCTGGTATACAAATGCCTTCGGTGTCTTAATAATTTTGATACATGGACCCTAGACTAAAGAAATATCTAACAGTCCCATTTATTAAGTAATTAGGTCCAAACTTGTTATAAATGTTTATGACCTACGTTGTGATAGTTACTTTATTTTTAAATAACCAAAACTACTTATTAATGGAATGTGTGCACCTATTGGACACCACGTCTACCTTCTCAAACCTTGGAATCATATTAGATACTACTACTCCAATTTCTGTTTCACGTTGATTTTCTGGGGACACTTGATGTTTTGATCACAGCAACTGCTTCAAGTAACTTTTTAACTGATTGGCAATGATTGCTTATCTCTCTAATTTCTTAGAGTATTACATTCTCCATCACACAAGTAACCATATGATCATATTCATATTATATATTCTCTACTTACTTCATCTTTGTTAAGTTTACCTGGCAAGGCCCTAAATTAATTGGGGACTATGCATGCATTTTTATATTTCTTCTTTCTCTCTCACAGTGTTTAGCACAGTGCTAAATATACAGTTGGTGTTTAATCAATGCAACAAATTGATGCCCTGAAATGCAGATTTGTAAAAGAGTTTCACCAATCTAGATTTTAGAGAAAGAGGTATAGTAACTTCTAGATGTTTTCATAAAAATTAAGTATCTAATGAAGATAGAAAGGTGATCAGCAAATTATCTGAAGTGTTGATGAGATAGTGCAGAGAGGTGGCATACATGTAGTTGAATTCTTTTCAGATCAAACAAGTTGATAAGGATGAATATCTAATCCAAAATATGGGACTTAAACTCCCATGACTAGATTGAAAAAAGCTAAATTTCAAAGTTATCTTCCCCCTTTTTGTTGTTTATAGTAGTATTTCCTAGAAGATTGTAACCTAAACACCAAAAAAACCCACCCAATTTTGGCTCAAAATCTGATCAGGAATTTTACTGAGATTTGCAGAATAAAAAAAATCTTCAGTTAATCTCTTCTAGTGACTCATACAATAAAAGTTTGAAGTTGCCAAAAGACTATCATGAAAATGATATAATGCATGTACTGGCTGGGTGAGCAAATTATTTTTTCTGTGTATATTGGAACTCTTGGAGCTGTATTGATGCTTTAAGGCCGTGAGGGTATCACTTATCTGTGGTTTATTAAATGCAACTCTCATAGTTTGAAAGAGAGACTCCATTTATATTTTGGGAAACAAAATGTACTTTTGAAGGAAGATCTATTCAGTTAAAAAAAAACCACACGTATGACTTAGTAATTCCGAAAAATCCAAACCACACTGGCAATTACCAATAACCTTGAAATACCTCCATTGTAATCTCCTTTGGGGCTACAGGCCACTTGTGTTCATATTTTTCTTTCACAGTTTGCTCCGTGTTAGCAGTTGGATTTGAATTCTCAATACGCACTCCATGGCTTGGCTTACCCACCAGATTTTGAACAGATTTTACCATATTCTTTAAATCCTCTGGGTAAGGAGTTGGATATCGTTTTAGATTTATTTCAACCTAGAAGTTTATAAAAAGAAATTTAATATCAAAATACCTTCAGCAAGCATGTTCACAAAACTACTCCACTTTATGTGTAGTAGTAGAACCAAATGCAGTATAGTGAGTGCTGAGCTGGCTGAGAAACTGTTCTGTAGAGTAGAACACTTAGAGTTCTTCTCTTATTCTGCTTGTGGGATTTTTTCTCACCCCTGCCCACCCTTTTAGATTAAATACAATTTTTGGATTATATCCTATCTTTAGACCTACCCTATAATGGTTGAAATAGCAGTACATCCGACACTTAGGTGACAGTTAATCTCTGAAAAATGTAATTGTGACTCTCATTTGCTTTTATATTTTCTTGAGAGGCTGTCCTTTTACCTACAGAAATGATTTATAAGTAATTATTTTGATATTAAAAATATCAATGCAGGTGATGAAGGAGACCCCAAAAGATTTATAAGTAGGATGAGTTATCTCTTATTTAAAAACTCAGGAGGGGACAATATCTGCTACTCAAATGTACTTCAGCTTTCTGTTAATTGGTATGTTACATCAAAAGGTAGGGTAGCTAATTCTTGTTAACATTTAAGAAAACATATTTCAGGGTGGCTTTAAATTTAATTTTTACCCTAATAAAGTAACATGCTTTGTAGATAATGTCTTACACTAAAGAGAAATAAAAAAATTGTGAACATTTTCTAAGACATTCTAGGCAAACGTAAAATTTGGCTTATGTTTATTCAGATATTATTTCTATACTTGAACTCCTTTTTGGTGTATCAATCTGACTTTAGAAACACATATTCATGATTATTTTTTCCCATTTAACTTAGAGAGAGAAAATGTAAGATATTCCATATAGAATATTGAAACATCGGTGTATTTACATGGAACAGATATAAACTGTTCATGCTGTTTTAAAGGGAGCAGGAGGAAAAATAAGGGGCAGATTTACTTGGCCAGGCTTGTTGCAAAAATTATGCCTTTTTGTATCTGAGTAGAACCAACTTTACAAAATGGAATGGTTTATGTGATTGTGGCGAGTATGTGTCTGTGAAAGTGTGTGGGGGTTGAGGAGGAGCAAGTGGAAGAGAAGCTGAAGGAGGAAGAGTGGGAATGAGAGAGAGAAAAAGAAAGAGGGAAGGGCACAGGTATACGCACCCCCACACATCCATGTAATTCATGGGATGTAAGAAACCATGATAGTGGTATAGATCTGTGGATTATGAATATGAAATCAAACACTTTTGCTCATCTGCAGTTTTAGCAAATCCACCAACTTTGTTATTCTAGTGTTTTGTCTTTCTTGTGGCTCATTTTCCTTCTCAAATATTGGCATTGGATGATTTCTAACATTCCTTTCAGTAAAAAATACAAAATTATTTTCCCAGATACTTTGGAAAGCTGATGAAAAACCAGATAATTAATTTTGCTAGTGTATGTATTGTTTAAATGTAATTTAAATCTCTTATACTCCCAAATAAATAAGGATGACATTAATAATATATAGAAATTAAGTTATAAAAATATAACTCAAGAAAAAGTTCGACTTTACAGAAAAAGTGTAAGTTGTTAGAGTGTAATATAAATATATTTCAGGGCACTTAATTTATAATGCATTCTTAAATAAACATAAAAAGAATGATATCAATGCTAGACAAAGTCTATTGGGATGCATGCATCTTGGATCTGCTGTTTAAATTGTAGTAGAAATGTTAATCACTAATTAAATCTAAGTTTAAAATTTTATTTTTGAACTTGCTTAAAAGCATTTGATATCAAAGGACTAAAAAGCAAATATTACATTTAAAACTGTAAACTATAGAATGGTACAACAATAATGCCAATTAAAGCATCTTTTAATTTTTAATAATTAGCAACATATGAATGAGAAATAATTCTCAGGTAGGGCACTAAGTTAAAATTCTATGTTCCTTAAAATATCTTCAATGCTGAAATTGCTTCTAATTAAATCAAAGGCAAAAATGTGAAGCATTCTTCTTTAATTGAATTAAATACTTCACTGAATAATGTAATATATTTTTGTAGATGCTATGTCCCATCTGACACAATTATATGGCTATTTACTAATGCCTACAGTACGAATATTTTCCATTTATTTTATAAGCAAATTAATGCAATATTTTGTTCACATCACCAGAATATGTTTGAGTATTTCATCTCTATAAGTATTTTTAAATCTAGAAACAGAAGTGGATTTACCATGAAGTTAATGAAGCTTGTGCTTTAGGGCCTGTCACTTGCATGGGTTGCTTCCAAAGCCTTGTGAGAGGCCCTGCTTATGTATTACACAGTTATTTTATATTCTTTTCCTTAAAGAGGCCCCTCTTAAAACTGTGGAAACTTCAGGTCTCATAAAACTTAGATTTGTTCTATCTATACAATAAGCTCCTTGCTTTCCATTTATTAGTCTACCAGCAGAACCTAAATTGAAGCCAGATTTCTACTTATATAATATTAGAGGCCCAGTGCATGAAATTCATGCACAGGTAGGGTCCCTTTGGCTGCTGGCTGGGGCCTTCCTTTGTGCCGCCCTGCCCCCTGGTGGTCAGCACATGTCATAGCAAGCAATCAAACTCCTGGTAGGTTGAACTCCAGAGGGGACATTTTGCATATTAGGCTTTTATCTATATAGATGGGAGTGATAATGTCTTTCCCACAAGCTTATGCTAATCTGGAGCTAAAATGAGATAATAAATGTGATAGTCCTTTGAAAATTTATAGATTCTATGCAGAGGTTAGATACTGTTTCTAATATATTCTATTTATGTATTTTTAAAATCTGGATTCCTTCGGTAATATAGATTCTACTATATATGTCTAACTGCAATACCATACCGAGTGATTATTTTTCAGATTGCATGCAGCAACACTATCATTTATTTAGTATTTGCCATGTGTCAGGCACCAGGCAAAATGTTTTATAAGGATATTTAACTTATTATTAGCTATTTATGTAATACACATTTCATTATTTACCACAATTTTAAATATAAATAATAAATTATTAATTAATAATTATGATAAATTATAATTACATATCATTTAATTTTCACAAGTCATTATAGCACCTGTTCCTATTTAATGGAAAAAAAACCCAACAACTCAGGTCTCAGACAGTGTAAGTTACTTGCCCAAGATCACATTGCTAGTAGGTATAAAAGCCCAAAATCAAACTCAGGTCTTTCAGTCAAAAGTTTATGCAGCCAAAACCGGTTTGGCTCAGTGGATAGAGCGTCGGCCTGCGGACTGAAAGGTCCCAGGTTTGATTCCGGTCAAGGGCATGTACCTGGGTTGCGGGCACATCCCCAGTAGGAGATGTGCAGGAGGCAGCTGATCAATGTTTCTCTCTCATCGATGTTTCTAACTCTCTATCTCTCTCCCTTCCTCTCTGTAAAAAAATCAATAAAGTATATTTTTTAAAAAAAGTTTATGCTACACAAATATTACTTGACTCAGAGCTATTCTCTGGTACAGGTGTAGCACATATTTGTACTCTCTTGTGGAAGAAATACTATAAGTCTAAAATGTTAATTTTATTGATTAAATAACATAATTTCAATTTTTTACAACATGAAGCTAACATAATAGTTTATAATTTATTTTTAAATTAAACTATAATTTTATAATTTTGTTATATTTGAACGCTCTGTAAAAGCATATTTTATACCATTTCCCAGATTGTTTTTCCTTTCTACTCTTCAACTCATGTGTGCTGTACTTCAGAAATGAACAAACATGATCATAAACACAATTATATTAATAGGTCAGCAATGCCCAAATACAAAAGTAGTTTCTTTATATTTCTAAATATGTAGGCTAGGAATATTCCTTTATTCTAATATGGGATAAATATATATGTTTCATTCATTTATTATACACATAGGTGGGAAAATCTGTCAATTATGCTCTTACCAAAATGTTGTGTATATCACTCACCATAAAGTATTTGCTCATTTCACATATACATTTTACTAAAATGCAAAATTTTTACTGAAATGCTATTTTACTTAAATTTTGGAAAATAGAAGCTTTTCATAAAATTCTATATATCTTAGATCTAAATAAAGTGCAGTAAATGCAAATAGCAGCTGCAAGATGTTGGAGACTCCCCCAAAATGTAGCAATGAAGAAAGAATTAGTGTTAATAGCTAAGGCATTTAGAAGTGATACTTGAATTCACACAGAACTGTGCTTTTCTTATATAATGATTAAATTCTATTTTGATTTGGTTGCAAATTCCAGTAAGAGAAATAATAGTTAATGCTATGATTATTAATTGTTAAATATCTTATTCTAGGAATTAATTAGAACATTTTACACACAAAGAAAACATATAGCAGTTTTAGTTAGGAAAATGCATTCTCAGCTTGCCTTATATTGCAGAAAAATATAAGACAATAAGAATCTAGTCCATTACATGTGGATGGTAAAGTTTACAAAAAATGCAGTGTTCTTTCACATCCTATCAAGACTCCCCCCCCATTAAACTCTTGAACCCAACCCACAGAGGTAAAGAAACCCTATTTGCCACAACTCCCAAACCAATCTTCTCTTACAGGAATTCTCATCATCTGTGCCTTCAAATTAAAGGTAAATTGATGCTTTTCAACAGACACCATCTTTGTGCTTAAAGTTCACTCTCAGCAAATCTCAATTTAAATCTCAATCTATTTTCAGAATCAAGTTTAGTTATTTAATCTCCCCCAGAATTAATATTTTTAAAAAATGTATGCATGTGTGAGGACAATTTAGGTTTTTCTCAATAGCGTCATCAACATTCTGCTTGACTATTAGTATTCCCACACTTTAAATAAAAAGAAATCTTTAAAAATAAAAACATAAAAAATGAAGCACCCACCTCAAAAACCATGCCAGTTACCCCCCCATTAGGCACTTCATATTATGTTCCCTCCCCTCTGACTCAGGTCTCCCCGCCCCAATGCCAATGTCAATGAACAAAAATTAAATGGGGATCAGACATTGGCAGTTGGTAAGTTTCTATGATCAACATTTCTTCCCCCAAATCATGCAGAACATACCCCTTAAACCACTGTTCCAAGGTTGTCTCTACATGGGGGATTCTCCTACCCCAAACACCTAGGCCTACCTGTCTGCCACTTAGAGAGGGAAGAGTGGTGGATTGTGCTGCAACTGGCAATGGAGTGCACATGCTCCTTTCCTGCTGGAGGCCACTTATACAACCCCATGCCAGCTGTGGGTCATTCTGGGGGACGGGCATATCTTGGATCTGCTGATCACACCTGGCCCATGGTGTGCAGCAATCGCCAGACAGCCTGGCAGGTTGGAGAGTAATCCCACGCTGGCCCCTTTCCCAGGGGGCTTGGCAGGAGTGATCCTGTGGGAGAAGGAATCTCCATTTTCTGGGAGAAAGAGGAGCACTGTAGCAATACTTTCACTTTATCATTTTTCTACTCTTGATTTTTTTTTTTCATTCTGGGTAATGCATTTAAAATAACCATCAGAAAAATTAGTTTTAATTCCTGTAATAAAATGGTACCAATATCATATGTAGCTATAGTGTTGCAATTTCTTCACACAATGCAGCATTCATATTGCACTGTACACACTATCAGTAAGGCATTATAGCCTAGTCCATTTGGAAGTTGGTGGCATAGGTCACTGGTTCCTTTTTAAATTGTATGTAAATTAAAGGTAAAATTGTGTTAAGTTGAATGTACATGTAATGAACCAGAAAAGTGTGATTTAGTTTAAGATTTCAGCATATTCCATGCATCATATTTTCTATGATGATTTATTTAGAAGTTTGTTTGCGTTCTAATTTGTCTAATAGCCAATGGCATTGGAAATATTCAAACTAGTCAAAGTAAAGTAGAATGGGATTTAAGAAACACATATGGTTTTACCAAAATATAAATAAAGCAAATAGAAATGAACACAGAGAAAAATGCACTCTAAAATATAATGAATGTACTCTGATTATAAACAGACCTGAGCACATAACACACAAACAGGACTTCTAAATAATTGTTTGCATTGACTATATTTTATGTTTTCATTGTCACATATGCCAGAGTATATTAAATATACTCTTTTCCACTTGGATCCTTTGAATATAGATTTTTAGAAAGAAGTGCATAGTTTTTTACATCGGTGGAGTAAAACAATGAATCAAAGGTCCAGTATAGAATGCATCACCCACTGGTTCTGGATCTAATGTATAAGATCCTAAAGGTTTTTGTTTTTGTTTTAGTTTGGTATTATTTTTTCTAGGAATTCACAATAAAAAATGTCTCTGGCTCTTAGCACTAATTAACAACCCAGAAACATTTTTTAACTCAGATTTTTAACAGAATTATCATTTTGATTTGGAAACCCATATAGATATGCTCTGTCAATTACCTTACTGTCTAATTCTAATAAAGTTCCAAAGTGTGTTGGTGTAAAAAAAAGTTTATAAAATGTGGAGAGGACAGAAAAGAACACATTATACAATCTAGATCTACTAATAGAATAACTATACAATTACCTAGGAAATTAGTACCCATGATAAAAAAAAGTGTACAAAGAATGCTATAAAAATAATGAGAGATTCAAGATGTTATTCCAATGATAATATAAAGACCTGATATTGATAAAATCTATATCAATTCTGATCTTTTTAAAGTTAATGAAAAATATAGATTTTAAAATTCAACCTCGTTACTTGACTTAGATTGGTTCCAATAAAAGGTTTTAAAAAATATGCTTTAGAATTAAAAAAAATGAAGTTATTTTGTCTAGGAACATCACCTGTTATTAGCCCTCACCTCCTTTAAAATTTGTCCTCATACTTAAGAAAACTCATCAATTCTCCTCAAAATATCCCAGTAACATAGAATCTTTCAGAGATTTTAATACCAATGTACTATATTCATCCATCGGCTCTTCAATAAATGTGCAATTTGGTTTCAACAGTCTGCACGACGTTTTGTTCAGTGATGAAAAAACACACATTTCAGTGTATGAAAGGATATATAAGATGCTCAGGAAAAGCCCATCACCCAGATTTTTTTTCCTGGCTTTTTCTCACCTTGAATCTCTTTCATGTTATTCTGTAAGATGAATTGGGACATTCAGCCCATCACCCAGATTTTTTTTCCTGGCTTTTTGAATCTCTTTCATGCTATTCTGTAAGATGAATTGGGACATTTGTCTCATTCTCAAGCAAAACAGTGCTTTCAGAATTACCTATAACGAAAGGTACCACCCTGAGACTTAAAGATGTATCTGACCATCTAGCAGGGGTCACTCCATTTGTTTCAAAATCTATTTGAATAAGAACATTGAACAAGCAAAAGTAAGAAACAACAATTAAAAGGTTCACCTTAACTTTCCCAGCATTATCGT